CTGTATTCTGCCTATAATACAGGAATCTCCCTAGACTGCTTCCCTTCTCCTCAGAACAGATAGATAAACTTTAATGGAATATCTTGGGGTAGTGGAGGATGTCAGTCCTAGATCTGTTGCAGCTATGAAATGACTCATGGCTAATTCCCTACTTGATCCCTCCTTACTGTACAGCTGGGTGTCTCCCAACACTTTGTTACTTATACTAATCTATTAATATTAGGATATTCTGTTTGTAAATTGCCAGGAGTCTCCTCAATTTTGTGTGTATTGGGATACATTTGTTTAATTAATAAATAAATAATGCAAGCAGGAACGTAAATTGCAATCCAAAATTCAGATAACCGTTAGATGGCAGAAAAGGAACATCAAAATTTCTGTGGGCTGACAAGAAATAATTTGTTGATGAAACAAAGATCTTTCTCTTACCTTTGCCTGAACTGCTCTTTGGGGCAATGCAGTGAGTTTTTGTGGATACACGACTTCATAATCATTAACGTTCCCAGATTCCAGGATTATAGAGCTCCCTTCATAAGGAAAAAAAAGATGGTTTGGTTTACTTTGGGATGTTATTCTACCATTTTCACATCCACAACACAATTTGTTATTCAATTATCAGTGAATTATGTAATCTTTTTCTAGTGGGACACAGCACAGAAATCCAGATTTTCTCTGGGAATTCAATTTGCTGAATAATGTTTGGGAGATGGAAGTCTAAGTGGAGACATTGCTTTGGGCAGGTGCAAAAGAAACATTTTGGAACTTGAATAATTAGAAGAAAAAAATAAATCTAAACCAATGTGCAGGTTTGTGCACTGAGTGATAAGGATAACACCAGAAATAGTAAATCACAATAATCTGATTCACACAATTCAGTAAATCATACTGCATTATGGTTTAGCATATCCATTAGTCAAAAAGCTAGGGAAACTTAGATTTCTATGCAAATGCAGCTAATAATAATAATAATGATGATGATGATGATGATGATGATGATGATGATGATGATAAAGTTGGAAGGTACCTTCGAGGTCATCTAGTCCAATCTCCTGCTCAGGCAGGAAACCCTATACCATTTCAGAAAAATGGCTGTCCAGTTTCTTCTTAAAAACTTCCAGTATTGGTGCATTCACCGCTTCTGGAGGCAGGTTGTTCCACTGGTTAATTGTTCTAACTGTCAGGAAGTTTCTCCTTAGTTCTAGGTTGCTTCTCTCTTTGGTTAGTTTCCACCCGTTGCTTCTTGTCCTGCCTTCAAGCGCTTTGGAGAATAGCTTGACTCCCTCTTCTTTGTGGCAGCCCCTGAGATATTGGAACACTGCTATCATGTCTCCCCTCGTCCTTCTCTTTGTTAAACTAGACATATCCAATTCCAGCAACCGTTCCTTATATGTTTTAGCCTCCAGTCCCCTAATCATCTTTGTTGCTCTTCTTTGTACTCTTTCTAGAGTCTCAACATCTTTTTTACATCGTGGTGACCAAAACTGGATGCAGTATTCCAAGTGTGGCCTTACCAAGGCACTGTAAAGTGGTATTAATACTTCACGTGATCTTGATTCCTTTTAGTTGAACTGCTATTTCACTGCCATCCTAACAGTTTTTCTGACTTTCCTTTCGTTCACTTTCAAAAGAATGTATGGACAGCCCACAGCATCATAATTATCACTGGAGCACCTAACAACATGTAAATAAGTAGTGATTTCAGAATTAGACCAATAGCTGAAAAATTTAGAGTTGGTTCCCATATGGACATTGCATGATCACCTGCTATTTGTTCCTTAACTTATTTTGTAAATGTGACAGTCTGACACCTGAAGGTCCTCTTGGGTGCACAATCACAACTGAGACCAAGATTTGTTAGCAGATTAATGGAAGGGAGTGGGTAACCTGGAAACGTGTCTGCTCAGACTGATGGGCAACCCCAGACAAAAGAATACATCTTCCTCATACCTATTTATGTACCTACCCATTTGTACCTGAACTCTCAGAATCATGGGAGAGGTTCACCTCCACCTACTAGCAAGCAAGCTTACTATTCCTCTCTTGCTTAGAGCACAGAATAAGCAGCAATTTCCTTTCCATCTCCCTTTCTTCTTTCCTATATTGTTCTCCATAAATTACTGCTGGTATGGGCATCCCCATCTTTCCTTGCTATTTAAAAAAGAAAAAAACCAGGGCTACCACAGTGAGTCTCTAACCCTTAATTGTGTTTGGCAACTTCTGAATCAATTGAGTATCGTTGTTTGCAATGAAATGTGGGAATGACTTGGGAGACAGGAAGAAGAGCCATAGACTGTCAACTGGCATGGAAAAAGTATCTCAGCCCACAGAAGGAAGGAGAACTTGGGAAGAATTTCAGAGAGGAATCTCCCTGGATTTCTGCAGAGTAAAAGGAAAGGAAGGAAGAAATAATTTAAAATAATTCAAGATATTCCATTGAGAAAAGTTAGTGTCATATTATCTTGAGTACAGTTTGTAGATTCTCTGTAACAGCAATAGTACTAGCTTTTGTTTGGCTGAATATTATGCATACTTAATTACAGGATGTCTAATTGACCTACTGAAAGAAAATTAAAACCGAAAACACTTTATTTTTCTTTAACATTTTGCTTTCTGAAATTTTCTTGCCACAAACGCTGTCTCTCTGTCCTCTTCAGTCTTCTAATCCTTTTTTAAAAACTCACATCATTGAAAATCGTTCTCTCCAACTTCAATATGCTTTTCTTCTGAAGATCTTAGGACTTTTCTTTCTTAGGATCTGCTCGTGGCTTGAGAAAATTTAAGTAAATACCAAGAAACCATTTATGTAACTTTAGAACAAATGTGATTCTTGAGAGTATTCTTTTGCTAAATCTGTGGAGCAAATTTTGGTTAATTGTCAAAAATAAAACCCCAAACAATCACAACAACATAGCAATCTGTTGGGTGTAATAGTCTTTTAGCAGTAATAATCTGAACAAAGGAACTAAAGAGAACATCTTACCTTGATATGGAAAAACTGCTAAGCATATGGTTACCAAGAGAACCTGGATCATTTTGAGGCTGGATTTGGCTGGAAGACAGGCAATCTCTTCCTGCTTTCAAGCCAACCTGAGCTCTTCCTCTGTTGACTATGAGAAGCAAGGAGTGAGTCCTTCAGCTTCATTCATGCCCTCATATGAGAAGGTGTTTGCTAAAGGATTTGCACAAATTCTGAGTTGTAACAATACTACTGGAGGGCAGTTTTCCAGCTGGCTTAGCGCATGTCACTCCAAAAATGACAGCTGAAAGGGTTCGTTCAGGGCATCCCCAAAGGAAAAGCCCAAAGGAGGCTATTAATTGGTCACAGCAGACCTTTCCCTGGCTCACCTGTTAATACGACTAAATTTGGGGCCTCTGGTGCATGGGGTCTTAAATGCCAAGAGATGGTTTTTACAGTATTTTGTGAGTAAGAGGCACTTTTGGAGCAATCTAGTCTCTTTTCTATATTGCTAGCAATGACTGAATCCATGTCAATGCATTTGCCTAAGGGATCCCTGATTTCACTACAGGGAAAAAAAAACACCTCTGTGCCATAATAGATTTCTCACTTTGTAGAGAACTCAAGAACTTTTGTTATCTCTTCATATAGTTCCTTCCCCCTTCATGGATTACTGCCGTGTCGTGACAAAGGGGCTTGCGTAACTCAATGAAGCTATGAGCTATGCCGTGCAGGAACACCCAAGACAGACAGGTCATAGCAGAGAGTTCTGACAAAATGTGATCCACTGGAGAAGGAAATGGCAACCCACTCCAGTATCTTCGCCATGAAAACCCCATGGACAGTACCAAAAGATATGACACTGGAAGATAAGTTCCTCAGGTCGGAAGGTGTCCAATATGCTATGGGGAAGAGCAGAGGGCTAGTAGTAGTAGCGCCAGAAAGAGTGAAGCGATTGGACCAAAGCTGAAAGGACACTCAGCTGTGGATGCATCTGGTGGTGAAAGGAAAGTCCGATGCTGTAAAGATCTTTTCTCCATAGGAACCTGGAATGTAAGATCCATGAATCAAGACAAGCTAGACGTGGTCAAACAAGAGATGACAAGACTGAACACCGACATCTTAGGAATCAGTGAACTAAAATGGACAGAAATGGGTGAATTTAACTTAGATGACCATCAGGTATACTACTGCATGCAAGAATCCCTCAGAAGAAATGGAGTAGCCTTCATAGTCAATAAAAGAGTAGGAAAAGCAATACTGGGATACAATTCCCAAAATGACAGAATGATCTCAGTTCGAATCCAAGGCAAACCATTCAATATCACAGTAGTCCAAGTCTATGCCCCAACCACTGGTGCTGAAGAGGATGAAATTAACAGGTTCTATGAAGCCCTACAGCACCTTACAGAATTAACACCAAAAAATGTCCTTATCATCATGGGGGATTGGAATGCTAGAGTAGGAAGGCAACAGAATAACAGGCAAGTTTGGCCTTGGAGTACAAAATGAAGTAGGGCACAGGCTGATAGAACTTTGCCAAGAGAATACGATGGTCATAGCAAACACGCTTTTCCAACAACCCAAGAGACGGCTATACACATGGACATCACCAGACGGTCAACCTAGAAATCAGATTGACTATGTACTCTGCAGCCAAAGATGGAGAAGCTTTATACAGTCAGTAAAAACAAGACCAGGAGCTGACTGTGGCTCAGATCATGAGCTTCTCATTGCAAAATTTAGGCTTAAATTGAAGAAAGTAGGGAAAAGCACTAGGCCACTCAGGTATGAACTAAATCATATTCCTGATGAATATACAATAGAGGTGACAAATAGATTTAAGGAATTAGATCTGATAGACAGAGTGCCTGAAGAACTATGGATGGAGGTTCGCAACATTGTATAAGAGGTAGCAACTAAAACCATCCCAAAGAAAAAGAAATGCAAGAAAGCAAAAAGGCAAAGGAGAAAGAGAAAGATACACCCAATTGAATGCAGAATTCCAGAGAATAGCTAGAAGAGATAAGAATACCTTCTTAAATGAACAGTGCAAAGAAATAGAAGAAAACAACAGAATAGGGAGGACCAGAGATCTCTTCAAGAAAATTGGAGATATGAAGGGAACGTTTCATGCAAAGATGGGCAAGTTCTTAAAGAGATGGGAGTACCAGACCATCTTATTTGTCTCTTGAGAAATCTATATGCGGGTCAAGAAGCAACAGTGAGAACTGGACACAGAACCACTGATTGGTTCAAAATTGGGAAAGGAGTCCGGCAAGGCTGTATACTGTCACCTTGCCTATTTAACTTATATGCAGAGTACATCATGAGAAAGCCAGGGCTAGATGAATCAAAAGTTGGAATTAAGATTGCCGGGAGAAATATCAACAACCTAAGATATGCAGATGATATCACTCTAATGGCAGAAAGTGAAGAGGAACTAAAGAGCCTCTTGATGTGGGTGAAGATGGTGAGTGGAAAAGTTGGCTTGAAACTCAACATTAAGAAAACCAAAATCATGGCATCCGGCCCTCTCAATTCCTGGCAAATAGATGGGGAAGAAATGGAGGTAGTGACAAATTTTATTTTCCTGGACTCCAAGATCACCTCAGATGGGGACTGCAGCCAAGAAATTAAAAGATGTTTGCTCCTGGGGAGGAAAGCTATGGCAAATCTAGACAGCATACTAAAAAGCAGAGACATCACCCTGCCAGCAAAAGTGCGTATAGTCCAGGCCATGGTTTTCCCATTTGCAATGTATGGATGTGAAATTTGGACAATAAGAAAGGCTGAGTGCCAAAGAATTGAGGCTTTTAAATTATGGTGCTGGAGAAGACTCCTGCGAGTCCCCTGGACTGCAAGGCGATCAAACCGGTCAGGAGATCAACCCTGACTGCTCTTTAGAAGGCCAGATCCTGAAGTTGAAACTCAAATACTTTGGCCACCAGATGAGAAGGAAGGACTCACTGGAGAAGAGCCTAATGCTGGGAAAGATTGAGGGCAATAGAAGAAGGGGACGACAGAGAATGAGGTGGCTGGATGGAGTCACTGAAGCAGTAGGCGTGAGCTTAAATGGACTCCAGAAGATGATAGAGGGAAGGAAGGCCTGGAGAAACGTCCATTTAATGTGAGTACTGTTTTGAATATTATTGAATATTTACAATATCATAATGAACAACAGGCAGTTTTAATATTCTTAGAGGCTGAGAAGGCCTTTGACAACTTAAATTGGGTCTTTATGTTTAAAGTCCTGCAAGAAATGGATTTTAATGGGAATTTTATTCAAGGAGTCAAAGCTGTTTACACATCACAACAAGCAAAAGTTGTTATTAATGACGATCTAACTAATTCATGTGAAATTCGTAAGGGTACAAGAAACAGATGTCCGTTGTCTCCACTGCTGTTTATCCTGCTGTTGGAAGTTCTGAATAGAGATATTGTGCAAGATGGGAAAATAAAAGGTATAAATGTTAAGAAAGAATTTTATAAACTGAGGGCCCTTGCTGATGATTTGGTTATATTTCTGCAAACCCAAAACATAATATAGAATATTTGATGAGGAAATGAAATGAGTTTGGGTACTTGGCTCATTTTAAAATAAAGAAGCAGAAAACTTAAATGTTGATTAAGAATATGACCTCACAGGATGGTGATATACTGAGTAAAAAGTTTGGTTTTAGGATTGAGAAAAAGGTGAAATATTTGGGGGTTATGTTAACAAACTCAAACACAAAATTGTTCAAAAATAATTATGTGCCTCTCTGGAACGGTATTAGAAAAGATGTAGTAAGATGGGATAAATTGCTTTTATCATTATTGGGTGGAATTTCTGTAATCAAGATGAATGTTTTGTCAAAGATGCTTTTCCTCTTTCAAACATTACCAATACTGGCAACTGATATTCTGTTGAAACAATGGCAGAGGAATATTTCAAAATTTATATGGCAGGGGGAAAACCCGAGAATCAGATGTGAATTATTGCAAAGAAAGAGGGGGCTTGGGTTTACGTGAAATTGTACTTTGACGCTTGTTGTTTGGTTTGGCTAAAAGAATGGGTGAACCTTCAGAATAAGAGGTTACTGGAAGGCCATGAATTAAGGTATGGCTGGCACGGTTACTTGTCGTATGACAAAGTTAAAGTGTTGATTTCAACAATCATTTTGTTAGATGTGCCATTTTGGAGTTTGGAATATAACAAGGTTTTCTATGAAGGTGCCACTTTGGGTTTCCCCACAAGAAAACTTTTTTTAGAAAAGAGATGGTGATGAGGCTGAATTGGTGGACCTATGGTAAAATAATTAATTTTAATTTGGGGGAGCCTACCCTCAGATCCAAGGAGAAGCTAGAATCACAAGGTCATGTCTGCCATTGGTTCACACTTATGCAATTGAAAGAAAGGCTTAATCTCGGCAAAAAGAATCATGGGTTTAGTTTTGTTAAAAATGAATTGGAAATCCTACTGTGTGGTCGTGATGAACATATTATTGCTAAAGTTTATAAGATGTTATTGAATTTAAATTTGGAAAATGAACAAGTAAACATTGTATGATTCAGTGGGCAAGGAATTTTGGGTACAATGTAATGCTTGAACAATGGGAGAATATGTGGAATAAAAGATTAAAATTTACATTAAACTATAATTTAAAAGATAACTTTTATGATGTAAGTTGGTATTTAACACCAGATAAGTTATCAAAAATGTATTTTTGGGGCAGCCATCACAATGATGGGCCATGAACATGCACTGGCAGCTTATCTCAAACAGTTGCCCATTGATTGAGAGCTGTAAGCAGAGTCTCCAGCTCTACTCGTGGAGAATGAGTGGGCACCCATATACATTTTCTAAATAAACAAGTAAATAAATTCTCAGAAATCCCTTCTTGAGCTACTCTGCACATCTTCTCCAACCAGTCAGATATTTCAATCACACAAGTATCCCAAAATTCAGAAGGACCTTATCCCTAGCGCAATTCAATGCCCTCCCAAAAGCAATTCCTGAAGGAGGATACCAAAAAAAATCCCCTTCTGTCCATGTGGTAGAGGAATTATTAAATTGATGGAACATGTTATTCT